GCCTTGGTACCCTTGCAGAGCTCGCCGGAGCTGCTTCTGCGCCTCCCCTCTCGTTTGAGAGGGGTCTATGAGACTGCGAAAGAGACGCCATGTCCCCTTCGAGCTCATCTGACGAGCTGCGGCGTCGCAGCGGGCTATCCAATTTGAATCTGAGAGTTGGGCAGCATACGCTGCAGCTTGTTCCGTGAGTTCGGCTATGCGGATACGTAATTTGCGATTAGTCTTCTGCTTTTTCCAACGTTTTGTTAAGCTTCGGCGCGCCTCCCACAAGTGTAGGAGGTGATTGTCAACTGCGGGGGTTTCTTCGTTGGTTTGGAGGGTAGTAGTAAGTTTTTTGAATGTTGTTTACGTGTTGAGCCCATTCTGCATAGCCTCCAGAAAATAGTACGGGAGGGATAGTCTGATTGCGAAATTGGGTCCAATCGGTCAACTTGGCTTGACCGCATTTTTATGAGCTGACTTTTCCAGGAGTGTGACCCGGAGAAGGCAGTGATCACTGCCTAGAGAATCGCCCAAGTTCTCCCAGGTAGCATCCTTAGCGTTTTTTACGAGAGGGAGGTCCGGACATGTGTCACGGGTTACCGAGTTCCCCACTCGAGTGGGGTACGCCGGATCCGTGAGCAGCGTGAGGCGAAGCGTGGAGATAAGCTCCGCCAGCTTACCTCCTTTGGCCTTCTCGTAGTGATATATACAGCCCCCCGCATAAGCCCCGCGTAACTTTTAGCGAAATCTTCCTCCGGGCGATCAAGTTGGCAGACAAGGACCCCTTAGTGATCGTGGGAGACTTCAATGCTCCCAGCTTTCACTGGGGCTATCACTACGAGAAAGCCAGAGGACGTAAGCTGGCGGAGCTTATCTCCACTGTCGACTGCCTATAGTCGGGTACGATTATGGGAAAAAAGGAAAAAGCCAGGAAGAGTGTCACGTTATTCCGCTAGCCTCGGCGAGCCAATGTCTTCTGATGCCGCCCCTCCTGACCAGTTCGCGGTGCCTCCTGGGTAGGCTGAGGCCATCGCAGCTCCAGGAGTGGCTGCAACTGAAGCGAGCCGACCAATATTAGCGCATGCCTGTCAAGTCACCTGGGCTTGTTTCTTCATCGAGTTCTTTGTGACCGGGCTTCAAGGTTGTCACGTGACACTCCCACCTAGTCGTTCCCTTACTCTATGGGCACGACCTTAGGGTGCATTCCAATACTCACCATAGACGGCTAAATAGACAGCTATGTGGACAGTGGCCATCTTAAGTCACATTCCGGTTCTCTCGTAGCCGGCGAAATAGGCATGCATCTTCGAGAAGACAGAATCGTAGAAAAAAACGATCTGGCTACTTGGCTGTCCAAACAAGATGGCGGCTCAGCGAACTGCTCGGATGACTCCGATCTCACCGGAATGGTCGTGGGCACACAAGCAGACGGTTTTCCAGACACTAAGTTTTAGTAACGCTTAATTTTTCGTATTTTTGACCACTAAATAAGCTTTGGAAAAAGAGCAGTTACATTAGTTTATCTTGATTTTGTCTTCTCGACGCGAGGTGGCATCTGGTGACTCTGGTCGCGTAGAAAACGTCCAGACGTGTTCCATTTAGCGGGAAACATGGGCTCGTTGCTGTCTTCTAAGCTGTAAGCGTAGACTGTCTACGATGCTGTCTAGAATCGGAACACAGCCTTGGAATACTGTGGCCTTTCCCCCTCGAAGGCAGACACAGAAGCCAGTACCAATGAGCGCGTGCGCTTAACTGACGCCATAACCAGGATGTTCGGTGACCCAGCATGATAGGGGAGTTTTCTTTAATAGCAAAGGCAATCGGCTGTCGCGCTTCGGTCATCTGGACGGGACATCTCCTGCTTACTTGTATGCGTCTGTACAAACTAATTAAACCATCAAAAACTAGTCATCCCAGTTTACATTTATTTCTTTAATGATAATGACTATGATGACCACCGCAGTCACTCGGTTGGTAGAGCATCGGACGCGTTATTCGAAGGTCGTCGGTTCAGTCCGTGCCCACGGCAACTTATCTTTCCGTTCACTCTTGTTTCTTCAGATTTACATTACAGTTACTTCTAATAACATCACCTATACTTTCCTTAACTGGCATCATTATGAATTAGTTCTCATTACCAGTGTGTCTAACGAGAACCAAAAGCGGCCCCTTAAATTTCCTTTTCTTTCTCTTAGTAGTAATAGTAAAATATGATTACGAGTCACGTTGTAGAGGCAAAAAGCTCAGAATAGTTTTGACCATCCGAAATCCTTTAATGTGCAGCCGAGATCTAGCCACACGGCAGTTCTTGAACTCCCCCACCCCACCCCCCTCCCATCATTATTCGTAATCCGTCTTTGGAAAAATCGGACCAGCGTCCTCGAGCTCAGCATCGCGACACGCCATAACTTCTCGGTTATAGCGCGGTGATAACGGCTATTCCAAAATTTTCAAAATTAGTCCGTTTTGCGCAAACAGATTCCACTTTTAAAGGAGCACCGACACTAAATTTCGAAGGCGAGGTAATGAGCGAGATAGATTTGGTGAAGACATATACAACGTCTACGAGATATCAAGGGCAAACATAGACTGGAAAATACTTAAAATCAATTTTAATGTGCACGGCACGCGACTTAGCGAGATGCGGAGCCCCTCGCAACGCCGACATCAGCTCAGGGGCAATGTAAACAAAGCCTACGTCACGATTTTTTGTCGGTTGGTTGCTGGCACGTGCCTTAATTGCGCTTGAAAACGTTTGATTTCCTTCTCCGTGAATGCGGCTTCGCGTTGTGGCTGGCTTGGCTGGTTGCCAGTGCGGCGCCGACGTCACAGTTTTGCGTAGTCACGTGTCCGGCTGTGTTTACTTTGCCCCCGCAACTGCTCCTGCCTAGCTCGGTGCTCCTCGAGACCGAAACTGGGCGCTCTAAATAAGTAAACAACGTGTACTCGCGCAAAGGAGGTTCCCCGTAGTAATAAGTGGATCATAAGCTTACAGACAGCTTGCACGTGTCGTCATCGTAACAGCTTCACAACCCGCTGATTTACCAACATGGCGGCCATGATGACGTTGAGGCAGCGTAATCACATCGTGCTTCACCTGCTTGACCATGATAACGATGCGACCAGAATTCCGTTGCCCTCTTGCCATCAACGACGAAAGAACTTACAAACAAGCGATATAATGATAACATCTACCCGTGACGTCAAAAACCTTACGTGTCCCGTGTAGGGCACCAACATAGCGGCTTGCGCGGCGTCAGCGCAAGCCATCTATTGCAACAACAACCGAAAAATTCGGCGGATCCCACGTACCTGAGAATCGACGTTATGCGAAGCATGCGGAGGCAAGGTGACCGTGTTGCAATATTTTATCGAGCGACACGTCATAAAGTGCCGCTAAATATATGTACAAATGTTGCACGCAAGGACATATGCAGAAGAGTTCAGGTGTTTATTGCTTTGATTGATTTGTGGGGTTTACCATCCCAAAACCACCATATGATTACGAGAGACGCCGTAGCGGAGGGCTCCGGAAATTTTGACCACCCGGGGTTTCCAGGTGTTTATATAACCAGTTGTTTGCAATTCGCAACGATGCCAACTAGACCATGCGTATTAGCAACACCTGAAGCTGATACGAAGCGCTGATGATCGCAAGGATGCTGGTCCTGGACATTGCTACTTAAATCAACTGCAGCGCATGATAACCGCAATTGACGTTAACTCGACATGACGGCTGTATCAAAGGATTGATTGATACGTGGGGTTTAACGTCCCAAAACCACCATATGATTTTGAGAGACGCCGTAGTGGAGGGCTCCGGAAATTTCGACCACCTGGGGTTCTTAACGTGCACCCGAATCTGAGCGCACTGGCCTACAACATTTCCGCCTCCATCGGAAATGCAGCCGCCGCAGCCGGGATTCTAACCCGCGACCGGCGGGTCAGCAGCCGAGTACCTTAGCCACTAGACCACCGCGGCGGGGCGGCTGTATCAAAGGAGTACATATAAGGTTTATAAATCTGGGTGGGCAGCACTGCAACTACTATTGACGTTTCACGAAGACTAGCGTCTATTTGAAAAGTAGTTCCGAGACCTGGAGTAGCTCTGTGGTAAAATGCTTCATTGCCACGCAGAATGCTTGGGTTCGATTTCAGCTGGGACCCTGACATTATTCTTTGCATTCGTCGGGTCGACGCTACCGATGTCTGGTATTTCTAAACGCTCGCACGTTAAAATTGCCCATGCGTGGTCTCGTCGTTCCTAGGTACATACTAAGTGTCAATCACCTGTGGCGCTCACCCGCATACCAGCGGCACATACCCGCCCGTGGTTATGCGCCACTGGCTGGCGGGAAGTGCTTTACGACGTATATACGCGACGGCATTGTGACACTATTCATGTCTTGACCAGCCCGTCATATTCGTCAAACCATCTTACCTAGCTCCCATGCTAATTTTAATTCACGCGAAGTTAAGGGGGTGACCACGAGAGCACCCAAACGTAAGCGGATAGATAGATAGATAGATAGATAGATAGATAGATAGATAGATAGATAGATAGATAGATAGATAGATAGATAGATAGATAGATAGATAGATACGCTTCAAGTCGCCAAGAAATGCTTCGCATTTGAAAACAATGCGTAAATCTTTCGTGTCAGTGCTCTTTTAAAGCCAGCAATCTTCTTAATTAGTAAAATTCGCTTAAGTTTGGCTCTTGCGAACCTAGTTGTCACGAAAGAAAGGTATGTTTGGCTTCGTTTTGCAAATTACACGCACGCAATGTTTCATTAAGCTTTCGCCTGGTGCCGTGTTACTATATGGGGCGAAGCTCCGAGGATCAACCACGCCTCTCCACAGCGTATCACGTGGAGCGACGTGCACGCGCCTGCCACACTTGCGCTCTGGTGCCTCGTGCTCCCGCTGCTCAAGGTTATCGCGACGCGATTAGATGTGGTGGGGTGGAACTTTCACTCAAACGATTAAAGACTAGAACGAAAGAGTCGCAGGCTCACCATTATGTGATACTCTTCGTGGCCTTCGATGGGTTGGCTGATGACGGCCAGGACGTCAGGTATGAGATGCTTCTGCGTCTCTTCTGTGAAAGAGTCGTCGGGCGACAGTTAGTTCAGGTGTATCCAAGCCAGAAACGCGCAATAAACGGCGGAATCAAAGAAAATCAACGCGAAGTTTGTGCCTGTTCAGAACGTTTAAAGAAAGTGCCTCGTAGACCATTTCGTCGCTGGCAAAACTTGCGCTATTGGTCCGAGCTAGTCGGTTAGTGTAGAATGTCGAAAATGGTGAATGCACGAAGACAGAGACAACGAAAATGACCGCGCAGAGCACTATTTGCAACTGACATTCATTGCGAAAGAAACATCCTATATCTGTAGATCTTCGCTCATTGCATGACAGTTACTGGTGGTTCTAGGGCTCTTCCCTTTCAGGTTCAATTCAATTCAATTTTATTTTGCAGTATATACAAGCTGGATAATTTCGTCGGATTAAAAGCTACATAAGTAGCTTGACGGGATCCAACGACCAGACTCAAAGGAAATCGCGTCGATATCCTTCGATCTTCGAAGCATGCGGCATCACGGTTGTTTTCGCGTACGAAATGGAAGACTAAGCTGACCCATTCGTGCACATAGACGTCATCATGTCATGCAACACAGTCCAGTGACCATGTAGGAACTTCAAGTTTCGGGGTCACGTGACGGAGTGATTACGTGGGACAATGTCATGCAAGACCAGAAAATTGATTGATTGATTGATTGACTTGTGGGGTTTAACGTCTTAAAACCACCATATGATTATGAGAGACGCCGTAGTGGAGGGCTCCGGAAATTTCGACCACCTGAGGATCTTTAACGTGCGCCCAAATCTGAGCACACGGGCCTACAACATTTCCGCCTCCATCGGAAATGAATTTTGACCATCTGGTGTTCTTTAACGTGCATTGACCACGCACAGTACACGAGCCTCTACTATTTTCGCTTCTAAATGCAACCACCGCCGCTGGGGTCGAACCCACGACCTTCGCGTCAGCAGTCGAGCACCCTATAACCGCTACAACACCGCGACGAATGCATAAGCGCATCTCTCTTTTTCACTCACCTCTCGTGCTGACCCAGAACTGATCCTCTTCGAGCTTGAAGGTGAGCCGGACCTTTTGCCTTCTGCTGTTCAGCATTCCAGCTATCGGCTCGTTTGGGAGGTCATCCTGACCCAGAATACGAAAAAGAACCGAGGTCACCGGGGTAAGCGGAGTTTTCACAACATGGGGTGTTTAGAAGCGGAATAACGCTTGTCGACGCGCACGTGTGAACGAGTGTTATTTTGCTTCCAAACGCCCTGTCAAACTTCAATACCTTTTATTAAATATGCCCTTGGCAATGAAAAGTTTGATAACAGGGAGTGGGTGCTAGCTCCAGCACCCACCCCCTGTTATGGAATTTAGAATGTTTCATTGTAAACTTCCATCTTCCCCTGCTTGCGATTCCTTTAGATTAAGACCCTTATAGATTAAGTCTCTCGTAGATTAAGCTCACATAGATTAAGCCCCTTCACTCACGTGGGCGTTGCAGATGCCGGGAAAGGCGTCCTCCGGGACGCCGTCGTCGATTATCGCCTTGTGTACCTGCGAGAAACCATTGAGAGGCACGTGCGTACCGCATACAAAACACCGTTTACCGGACGCACTCGAGCGCCGCCATCTTGAACTGATAACGTTGCAGTTTCGCACCCGTATCATACGCCGTCCTGCGGTGAACTCGCACGCGTGAGTACACTTGGGCTGGTGCATTGAACGTTTCATGGCCGTGATAATTCCATAATGCTGTACAGAAAACAGGCTGAACGACCACTTATCAGTACAAGATGGCAGCGCCCATGAGTCGAAAATAAAATCTTGGACGCTCGTAAACATTCGAATCATCCGTACAATGATTAAGCTAACTGATTAACCTGAATCTGATCAAAAGCTAACTGATTAACCGGATGGTGGAAGCAACGCTAGTAGTGGCGCTTCGGAGAACCACAAGGCATAAGCGTAAGAGGAGGAGGGTGCCTCTCTTAATCATTTAAGCTGAGGAGGGCGCCAAATCAGCCCGTATGCTCAGTCAGGCCTGTCCAATCATTGTTTCAAGTGCCAGTTATGGCCACCGGGCAATTTCGACGATAACGACGGTCGACCAAGGGCATAGGCAGATTTTTTTTATCGCCAATGCCCCTGGTTGGATGACCAGGGGCATAGAATGACCAGGGGCGTAGGCAGGCATATGGTAATTTTGCGTTCTGTGAGCCATCGCGAAAAAAATTTCAGGGGTGGGGGGGTGCATGGGATAGATGTGTTACTCCCTGGCTACGCCACTGCGATAGGCGATCTCTGATGCTGCATTCCAAGAACAGCCTACTTTCCACCTGTATCTTTCGAAAGCTGGGGAGCAAGGACAAGGTGCTGTGAATCCTCAATTGATTTCTGAATTTTCAATTTTGCATTCACGAAGTGCGACGTTTTTTTCTATCTTTTAGGATTAGTTCAGCTGGCACTGTCTTAACTTTCGCTGCGATATTATGTGTATCCAATATAACCCTTAAGGCGCCCTAACAACCAACTAGTTTTCAGCGCGGTCCGAAAACACTGCCGCGCGGCAGTCGATGCTCTTGAGACCAGGTGAGGCAAACATTGCATCGCAGCACGCGTCCTAGAATTCACAATTACCTGTCAGAGTAAGCAAGAAATCGCTCGCCCTTCTCTCGACAAGTGGAAACACAAACCCACGATGGCTCCAGAAACCACGTCACCCATTCACCGATTTGAGCATCGAGGGCTCCAAAGTTATCGCGGCCGCCGTAGAATGGCGCGACGTGCCCATGCACTCGCTCACTGTCCCACAGAAGATAAGCCGCGCTCCCAAAGAATAAAAGAAACTGCTCAAGGTCATGAGGCACGCGTGGCGTAGCATCCTTACTCCATGCCATTCCTCCAATCCTAGCTTCCATCACGGTGTGGATTGGATTGGATAAACTTTTATTTGGTCCTCCAAAACACAGATCACTGTGTTGCGGGCAGCTCCCACGTGGAGACTGAGATGCCAAGCTCCTCAGCCGCCTCGCGGGCTTGGTGGACAGCCCAGAGCTGATCTGCCAAGGACGAGCTGCGGATTGCCGCCTCCCATCTGGCAGAGGTGATGTGCGATAAATGAGCGAATTGGTGCACTGCCAGAGCATGTGTTCTAATGAAGCTATTTCCCCACAATGTGGACAAAGAGTAGCGAGGGCCAGGGCTATACTTCGTCAAGTCCATCACGATGTGGGTTCCAGCAAACTCGTCGGAACGAGAGAAAAAAGAAAGCGCTTAAAGCGTACCAGAAATCTCTGCAACTGCACTCGCACATGGCGGATTCCAAGATTTTTTGCACCGGTCGTTTATAGAGGTAATAAACTTCAATGAAGCTGTTGCAAAATTTCTTGTAACTGTTTTGCGGGGCCCCTTGAACTAGAACCAGGACCATTGATTTCGCACCACTTTTCATCTTTAGATTACTTTTTTTTCCTCTGAGACTGCAAAACCCGAAGTATGCGCACGACCTGGTCGACCCCGTATATGCTTGTTGGAGTTGAGACAGAGTCAGTCAGTGCTCGTGCCTCCAATAAGCGCATGCGCGAATCTCAGAGGAAACGCGCGTGGTTAAAGCCGTCCGACATGTATGGGTGACGATACACAGAATAATGTGACGCATCTTTCCCACGAGCACAGATTGTCTGAATTCAAACACTCACCTCCTGTTTGCAGAATGGCAGCTTCTTGGCTAAAAAAAAGGACGAAGAAACATAGTAAGGCGGCGCAAATGTGTAATGATTAGCATAAGCGCACCTAAGAGGGGGGGGGGAATTAGGGGGGCGGCCGCTTTTCTTGTACATCTCTTGAGTATGTCCTCCGATGTCCGGAGTACATCCTGTAAGACATATCTTACAGGACGAGAATGATGTCCTGAGGACATCTTACTCGAAATCAAGAAGAGCATAGGAGGGACATGCGCGTATGCAGAATAACCACTGGTCATTAAGGGTAACAGATTGGATTCCAGGAGGATTCAAACGCGCGAGTGGAAAACAAAGTTAGATAGGCAGATGAGAATATTACTCCGTTTGCTCCCTGAGGCCACTCTACTCTCTTACACCAATACACCAATCATTTTAGTTTAAATGGCTCGCTGCAGCGTCCTGAATTTAAGTCGAACCCTCTTTGTAAGCCTCCAGGTTTCTGCTGTGTAGGCAAGTACCTGTAAGATAAACCGTGCACCGTAGAGCAGACGATCGCGAAGCAGTGCAATTACAATGTGCGCACGTGTGAAACATAGGCACCGGGGCAACTATGAAATGCCTGTTGGAACACCGGGAACAGTCAGTTAGCATCCTTGACGCACTTAAGCGAAAGCAGTGCACAAAATTCGTGCCAAAAGGCTTTCGCAGCATGTCCAGG